TAAGCATTTCATTACTGGTCCACTCTGGGGCCAAATAAGTAAGCAATGGGCTTGAACATATGAGAAAAACTGACCCTTGCTGCCAAGGAGTTAAAGTATTAAAGTGCATAAACCATTTTCTCTAGTTGTCAAGCTAATTTTCAGTGAATTACTTAGTCCATGTGTTTATTATTCACATATAAACCCATTGACTCGGTATGAAAATGACATTACACTGCTGTAATCAGACTAATTTTTTACACTTATGGTCACTACACCCCAAAACCGCATCACTGAAAAAACAGCAGCTTTTGAGCAAGTTGCATGGCACCATCCAGTGATGAGGGTAACATTAATGGGCACTGTTGCCACACAGCTCCATGTAACTCCATAAAAATCAGAGTATTCTTTAGGAAATAATGATTTAATGGGAATGAATGAACTTAAAACATGGAATGAAATTCAGTGCAAAACCATCATCATTGCAAACATTTTCCATACCAGAAGAAATCACTTTTCCACAGCTCTTAGTGACCAACTTCCTTGTTCTCTACCCAGTATAGCACAGCCAGCCTATTACTTAAAATATTTAGCCTAAGGGACATAGTAGTACATATAGATGATTTATTTTTCTATCTGATAATTTCTAGTTTATGCTTAGATTTTAAGTGATGTTATAAGATGAAGGTGTTAAAAAGTGGAAATAATTTAGTAACCTCTGAAGATCAACACCTGTTAGGAAATGTTAAATTCAAGTTGACTTTCCATTAGCCCCACGTCTCATGTTGTGATTAAGTTGCAGAGTGATCCCTTGTATCATGGAATTACATACAGTGTTCTTAAGGGAGCCTGAACTGAACATACACTAAGCTAAGACACCACTTCACCATCCCCAGTGTGTAGCAACAAGGAAGCACATTCTTGGTTAGTTTTATAATACAGGTGCCCTACACTGCTATTTCTAGTTTTTATTTCACTTTGAAAGCAGAGTGAGCAGTGGAGAAAGTAAAAGACATCACTTCTGTTGGGTTTTACCATTTAAATAATAGAACATTAATATTAATTAGGTAAAAATGTATCAGGAAAGTCTCATCCTTTATTATTTTAGAGAAACCATGCTAAACTGATGTCATAGTTGAAGAAGAAACAGCAAATCAGCTCATAGGGCCATGAGTATACATTTACTGTCAACAGAAAGGCTCTCAGGGACTTCAGTTAGTATTAGATTGCAGTCTTCATATTTACATTTTAAAGTATTCCCCTCTGTGTCCTTACACAAATTATTAGCCTATTCAAATTCAATGAAAGATAAGTGGAAGATGAAAAAGTATGCATTAAATATCTGACAGACAGTGATTAAAGAAAGGCAATTTTGAGAGCTGGCACTCTGGCATATTGTTCTGGCTTTTCATCGGGGGGATATTCCCCCTCAGTGCCCGGTCATTTTGTATCCAATCGCTGCATTAAAAAGAAATATGCTCCTCTGCTTTCAAATGATTATATAAGAGAGAACAATACAAAAAAAGAAAGGATCTTTCAGTATACATTACTTCTGAAAAAAAACACACCACCACAAAAAACACCAAAACCCCCTGTTGTGGATGTCTAAATGTTTATATATTCACCTGTTGCTCTCCCATTATCTTCCTGAAATTTTTAATCTGCAAGAACAAGTTAAGAAGAAGCAGTAACTAATGACAAAATGCTTTATCTGGATAAAACACCTTGTTCCAGTAAGTAGCATTTTCCTCTCTCTTTAGAATGCATAGACTTTATTTCAAAAATTAATCAAATAGCTGCTGTACGCTAGTAATTCAAGCTAGTCATAAAACTATATTTAATTATTGTATAATCAGTAGTATAAGATAAATGTGTTCTACTCAGTTGCATTTCCATGAAATCAGACTTTTCTGACACTTCAAAATGCCTATGGTGGACCCAGAGAAAGCTATGTAACTGTTCTAAAGCAGAAAAGGCTAGACAAATGGATCAGTAGAATCACAGAATCATAGAATTTCCTGAGTTGGAAGTGGCCCACAAGGATTATCCAGTGCAGCTCCTGGCCCTGCACAGGACTATCCCCAAGAGTCATACCATGTGCCTGAGAGTATCATCCAAACACTTCTTGAACTCTGTCAGGCTTGGTGCTGTGACCACTTCCCTGGGGAGCCTGTTCCAGTGCCCAAACACCCTCTGGGTGAAGAACCTTTTCCTAATATCCAACCTAAACCACCACTGACACAACTTCAGAACATTCCCTTGGGTCCTGTCACTGGTCATCACAGAGAAGAGATCAGTGCCTGCCCCTTTGCTTCCCCTCATGAGGAAGTTGTGATTGCAATGAGGTCTCCCCTCCATCTCCTCTCCTCCAGGCTGAACGAGCCAAGTAATCTCAGCCACTCCTCACATGGCTGCCCTTCTAGGCTCTACAAGGAGCTGCTGAATACTGGCACAACTATCTTGGTCCACAACGTCTTTTGTGGAAGAGAGTAAACAAATATTAACCCCAGATTAAAATCAAAGCCAGACAGAAGATCCAGAGTTTAAACCATTGCTCGCACATCCTCTTTTGTGCTTAAAAGTTCTTTCCTTAAAATACAAAAAGGTGCTACACATCAAGTAATCATTCAACATTTCATACATTCATCTGTTTATATGATTTAGGATATCAGTACTGTAAAATAGCCCTCATCTCTAAAATTATCTTAAACAGATTTGTCAATGGTAGAAACCAAAGCAATTTATATTGTGGTCACAATAAGGACTCAGTTAAAAAAAAATCTTTATAACACTAACTTCAAGACAGATACATTTAATGTTACTTCTTTGCAGCTGTCCTTGTTCTTTAAAAGGAAAAAGTAGGCAAACTAGAACAATAAGTATTTTCAAATTTTTTTAAACATTAACAAGATTTGGGCAACTAGAATATGGGTGTGCATTATGTTGACTAATAAACATGGTTATCAGCTGACAAGGTTTTTACAGGAGATGTGAAGTTCAAAACTGCATGTTTTAACTCTCTAGTTTTGAACTCTGAGGTCCAAAATACCATTCAAGGGAACATAGCAAAGAACAAGAAAACCTTTCAGACCTCTTACCAGAAGACTGAGAGCTCTGGGAGAGCTCACAGATAAGAAGTTATGAGAAAACATTGAAGATTTATTTATCAGTTCAAACTGCTGCAAAGGACCATCCTGCTCTGGAGCATGACATAATAAAAAAATTATAAATAAGAAACAGCAGATGCTTTGCCAATACAAGTTCATAGATGTCGACAGGCAGCAGCTTCACTTTGGGAACACAAACAAAACATGGGACTCAGAGGAAGAAGTGTCTGTCAAACAGCTCAGCGTGCACCATAAAGCATTGTGCACACCATACCTGCTCTAACCACTTGAATATCAGGGGAACAAAGCTATGAATCTGTCTCCTATGTTTTTTAGACACATACTGGGGAGCAATAGAGACCTATCTTTAAGTCATCCTATGACTTGCTATTCCTGGTTTTATCTGAGCTACACAAGGTAAAGCTTTTTTTCATGTCCCTCCCATAATAAGTTCTTGATGATTGCTACCTTGCTCAATTCAGGCAATTTCTGCCTTCATTTGCATTCTCTGAAACTTCACCGATACTCATGCAAACACATAAAATGAATGTAAGAGCCAAATGCAGTATTACTTACTAGAAGCTAATGTGGACACCACTTCAAGAACTCAATAAGCATGTTGAAAAATACTCTGAAATTAAGACTTCAGACTTCACCTACTAGGATTTTTTTTAACTTGTCAGATTTCAAACCTTTGGATCTGAAAGCCATACTAGGTTGCTCCTCACTCAGACATAGGAAGCAGTCAAAAAGGCACTTTGTTCCAAATCTTGTAATTTGCACATGTGGAACAGAAAGAAGAAACTGATCTTTGATCTAAATTTAATTAAACACTTTTCTCATTGACATGCGAGCTTCTTCTCTCCTTACAGTTCATTCACTAAGAAATTTCTATTTTTTTTCTAGTCATTATCAACTTTCACAGCACTGCTAACAAGGCTTAATACAAGAAAAAATGCATTTCAGTGACCAAGGCTAATAGATATGAGTGTAAACATACACTGGTATAAGATTTGTTAAGAGAAAAAGCATTTTATCAGTTTTCAAAGTAAACCACATTCTGAGCTTTAAATTGGCATAGCAAAGGCAGTTTTGGTGGAATTATAGGGCTCTCCCAAAATGCTAAATATTTGCAATGAAAACTTCTCTCCCAACTCCTTTCATACCAAGCCACAAGATATTCTGCACTCTCTTCCATAGGGATTTAGAAGACTACAACAAGGAAAACTTGCTTTGAGTAATAATGCTCGCAAAAGAAGCCTCCAGTACGCAGCCTTCTTTGTGCTGGGATGGTGGTAATGACTTTCCACAAGTCAGGCAAAATTTTGGAAGATAAGGGGGCCTGTCATGGAAGGGCCAAACTGAACATGGTCCATATATTTTGCAGGGACCCTAGGACATTGGTTCTTACAATTAATTCAACATTTGCAGGATAAAATCTCCTGTGTGCATTCCTTGATTCCTATCTCCCTACTTCAGGGTAGCAGGTTTGACTTTGAGTTGAATGAAAGCACAGACCTCAGACACTGCTATAAAGAAGACAACAGCTCATTATAGAAATGTTAATGATATTGTCTTCATGGCTTAAAATATTCAGGAACAAGCCATCTCACTTGCTTTTAGTATGAAACCTGGAATTCTGTTTACTATGCTAAATTGGTAAGGTCTTCAGAAGCATTCTCTGACAGCTAAACATTACTGGGATGTCAAAAGAGCGTTTGCAAGCACCAGACCCTTATTAACTACACTGCTCTCCCAGTCCTCCCCATCGATCAGCTGTTCTCCATGACATGGTAACACTCGAAAACTGAAGTTACTGAAAACACAATCCAAGCCCAAAGGTGAAAAAAACCCTCAAATCTATAATTTGCCCAAATTTTTATCATTTAATTAATCAGAAGTCTTAAAACTTACCTTTAAAATTTGGTCTGATTCTAGCATCATAGCCTGACGTCCTTCCCATCAATTTGTCCAAAAAATCTGAAGGAGACAGGGTCTGTGAGGGGGATTTTCCAGATCTTGAATCATGTTCTTTACAGAAAGTCGTCCTAAATAAATTATTAGCCACCATTAGCTGATATTTAACTTCTATTGTATTCAATATGGAGAAATTACAGCACAAAATAAAATTGTCTCAATTCAATGAAGGTAGCAATTCATATTTTTATAGAATAATATCCTCTCTCATCTGAAAACTTTATTCGAGAAATAAAAATGAGTTTTAGGTAGTATGCATGAACACAGTTTTCTTTTCAGAAAAAAAGCCTTAGCTCTAAAAATAAATTCATTATAGTTTTAAGGCTTCAGAAGATTCAATTTACTTTTCACCTTGATGTGTAGAACAATCTTACTGTGACTTTGATATTCTGTTCCACATCATTTAATTACATGTATGCTGTTAAAAGTATATGTTAACACTGGCTTAAAGTGGTCCTAAACTTCCAAACAATAGTTGGCAACACTTAGCAAGAAACACTGAAAAATACTGGTTTTGTTAATGTTGGAAGGATATAGACAGAAAAAAATTGTTTTTTACAGATGCTACCCAATAAAAATTTAAATCATTCTAGCGAGTGTCTGGATTTTTCCCCAACATGGCAAAAAGGGTTCTGGAGTCAGTCACAACTGATCTTAGGGGAGTTTTGCCCCACTCCGTGAGCATCGAGTAATAAAATTTATTATCATCAGCTGGTATTTATACGCAAGCTCTTGGAACATATGTCTGTTTTTAAGATTTAAGAGCAAACTTCTAGTACCGTATCATGCATGTGAAATGCTGTGTACATAGCATATTACATATTGCAAGCACATTAAATATTGCAAAGAAAGACAATATAGCAGTTCCCCATGGTTGGTCCCTAGTGAGAAAGAAACTAGAATGAAATGGTCATATTTGGTGTGTAAAGGTAAGATATAATAATAATGCATTATCTTGATTCTTAAACAACCAATTTCAATGTGCTTGTTTCAACTTTATCTTCGAGCTAAATTAAAAGTAATTCTGACTCTGACTTCTTAACCATTCCCCATTTATATATTTGCCCAAAGGGAACCACTAAGTTTCAGGAGTGTTTCATGGGGTATTTTTGTGCATTTATATGTAAATATAAAAGTCAGATATACATACGATCATTTGAAATGAGAAGCAAATATCAAATCCTTTATCTCTTTACAAAAACACCAGAATTTTTAACAGGCAAGGCGATAGTAAATTCTCGTGCTGTAATTCCACACATTTTTTTCAGATTCCATTTATAGGGGGCGGTTGCTTCTTTTTGCTTCTGTCTATGAAATGATACCCTTACAAATATTTAATATTTACTACACGGCAAATTATATATCCCACTTAAATAATAAAAAATTCTGTTAAGATAATAAAAAACTGAAAAATTAATCTAGTACACTTATTTGGGATATTCCTAGACAAATCAGTTCTGTTTTCATTCACAGCCCACTAGTTAGGAGTTGTGTTGTGATCCCAGGCTCACAAATAAAAACACTGTTTCACTCTGTCACTGTATGTATACCTTGCTACTCTTATAAAAACACTTTTATGTCTAGATACATCTGTACCTGCAGATACACAGCAGCCTAGAGTATGATAATGAATCTCATCTAAAATGGTGTTTTGGTTAATAATACTGACCTGTTTGCTTAGTACAACAAAAAGTCAATCGCTGAAGCAAAAGCTTATGAAAGGTTAAAAAAAATTTAGAAACACCGGTACTTTAAGTGAGCACAATACTGGTCTGATCCAGGGTGTTTCCAAAATCAGAGGGCTGGTTCTCTAATTTCAAATAACTACATCCCTGACAAAACTGCTACAATCGTTTCCAAAGAGGAGGGAACCAAAGCAACTTCCTAAACAAGCTCTGCTGGGAGCAGAGAATTTGCATTTTGGAAGAAAAGACGAAGAAACTGGTTTTAGCTATTTTGATATTCAGTGAAAAAAAAAACATGTCTTTGAATCAGAAAATAGAAAATAGATCACCCAAACTTGAGATTATTATTTTTTGTGTTTGTTACCAAGCAACGAGCCTCCGGGTGTAAAAGGGATAGTCTGTATAGAATGAACACAAAACACTCTCAAATACAGCAAACAAACTAGGTTAATGTGACGTAGTATCTTTCTAGTTATGATTCCCACAACCTTTTCACAAATATTATTACAGAGTGGTATCACCTACCTGAAGTTGTTTGTCTCTAAGAAAAATGCAAACAAGGTTGTCAAAATTTTCACTAGCTGCCGGTTCATTCCTTCTGCTTTCTGTGATGATTTGGAAAATATCCCAGAAACGATTCCAGAGAGATGCAGGGAAAAAAAGTAAGCTGCTGCTGCTGCCTAGATTTCCAAATTCAGCAATAATTTAATTTTCTTGACAATCGGGAAGAGAAGGTCTGGATCTCTACAAAGTGGGGGTAAAAGAGAAGTGCCAGTCCTTGGAATCATGGTCAGGTCAAGCCTAGGCTCATCTCCAGCAGCCAGCACAAAAGAGATAAGGCATCAGACTCAGTCGTTCCCCCGACTCGGTTTTGGTGATTGCAGGGGAAGAAAAAAAAAAAAAAAAAAGGAGAAGAAGAAAAGAAATGGAAAGAAAGGGGAGAAAAAAGGAAAAGATAAGAAAAGAAAACCCAACTATGCGAGGAGCATCAGGCAAAAGGGAACAGCGCTGAGAGCAGTTCTGTTGTCGGTATGTTTTATTCCCCTTTCGATTTGAAAATTAGTATTTATGAACGGTGGTGGGGCTACTGGGTCGATCTGCTTTTCCCCTTTTTGGGTTGGGGAGCGTCGGCGTTGCCGGGGTGGGAGGGAGGGAAGGAGGGTGTGCGGGAGGGAGGGCGGTAGGGCGCGGGTGCCGCGGGGATCCCGGCGCTGTGCTGGAATGGGGCGGCGGGAGCGCGCGGATCCAGCGCTCGGACAGCTCCGCGCCCGCGCTGCGCATGCGGGCTGGGGGGGCCGCGGGGGCGCGCGCGGGTGTGTGTGGGGTTGCGGGGGGATCTGTCGGGGGGTGCCGGTGCGGGGCGTGTGCGGGGGGAGCGGCGCCCGCGGGGAGGGCGTGCGGGGTGTGTGTTTCTGCGAGTTGAGACGCGCGGGTGCGTTGGCTGTGGGGTGTCTCTGGAGGTGTCCCTGCGTGGCGCGGGGGTGTGCCTGTGTGAGCGGGGGGCGGCGTGTCGCGGGGGGCCGTGAGTGCGGGGGTGTCTGTGAGTGCGGGGGTGTCCGTGAGCGCGGGGGCGTCTGTGAGCGCGGGGGTGTCTGTGAGCGCGGGGGTGTCTGTGAGTGCGGGGGCGTCTGTGAGCGCGGGGGTGTCTGTGAGCGCGGGGGTGGCGCCGTGTGTGTGTGTTTGGGTGCGTCGCGGGGGGCCGTGGGTGCGGGGGCGTCTGTCTGTGTGTGTTGGGGAGGAGGCGTATCCGCGTGGTGTGCTTGTGAGTGGGGGAGTCCCGCTGGGGTGCGCGGGGTCGCGGTCGGTGGGCAGCGGGCGCGGGGGCGCGCACACGGCGCTGGGAGCGCGCTCACGCCGCTGGGGGCGCTTTCGCCCCGCCGGGCACGGGGGCCGCCGCCGGCGCTCCTGGGGCGGGAGGTGCCGCCTTTCCCCATCCAGGTGGCCGTGGAGAGGCAGAGGGAAGGAGCTGGGGAGAGGGAGGAAGGGACCTGGGCACCCAAGCGGCTGTGGGAGCCAGCGACCGGCTTCTGAGCCTCGATAAGAGACGACTTATAGGAGACCACGTGAATGTGTATAAATATCTACACCCCACACCTGGGCGTGCCAACCACTAAGACGAGAGGCAATGGGCAGAAGCATGCGCAAGAAATTCCACCTGAATGTGAGGCAGAATTTCTTTACTGTGCGAGTGACAGAGCACTGAACAGATTGGCCAGAGAGGTCATGGAGTCTTCCTCACGGGAGATATTCAAGAATTGTCTGAATGCAGTGCTGTGCCGTGTAGTCTGGGATGGCCCTGTTTAAGCAGGGAGGTTGGTCTAGGTGACGCACTGTGATCCCTTCCAACCTCACCTGTTCTGTGATTCTGTGACTGTGATGGGTGTGGAGGAGGATGGTCCCTGCAAGAGGAGCTGGCCCCTCTTGTAAGAGCTATTCCATAAAGACCCAAGTGGGTGTGAGGAGGAGGAGTGGTAAAGAGCAGTCTGGGGGAGTTTATGGAGAAACCAAAGGGGGAAAATTGCACGGTCTCCGTTTCCGGTTGGTTTTACTGCTCTATGATATGGAGAAGAAAACAATGCAGCAGCTTACTAGGGGATGTTTCCATCTCCAGACCCCCAACATGTGAGAAGATCCTTCTCTTTTTGTGCATGGGGAGTGGAAGCAGTGGATTAATTACCTGAGACCCCACAGATGGCCAGTGCCGTAGCCAAGGTTAGGCCCCGCTTTACAGTTCTCCACAGTCCTAGGTCCTTCCCACAATGCTTCCCACAACTTGAATTGCTCAGTTACAGGTCCTTATGGTAAACCCAGGCTGTCACTGAGAAGTCACATCCTTCAAGAGGAGAAGAATAGCTGGTCCCTCTGAAGCACAGATGGTGGCTGATAGAAGCTCTGGTCAACACACTACAACCCTTAAAGCATTTTGGTAACATGGTTTTAAATAGGGAGTTGAGGTATCTCATCTAGCAGAGTTGAGGGAATATAAAATGCTTTTTCATCCACTGTCACCATGATTTGCCTTCCTTATCACCACTAGTTAGTATCTGATTCTGTGTGTTCTGCATCTCCCTGAGAAGAAGCTGTTCAGTTTGTTCCCATTGAAAAAGCCTAAATTTTGTGTAAACCAGAGTTAAATCTGTTTCAACAATGTGGAAATCAATTCCTATGAGGAAGTTGTTTTTACCCCTCCTGCACTCTCAAAATAAACTACTGTTCTTTCTTCAGTTTTAGGTCCAGCTGTATTTTTTGAGTCCAGCTATATTCTCTTGCCACGGAACCAGTCCACCTGAACACTGCTTCACTTCCACAAAAGTATTTGCATACACACAGATTTCTCATATCTCCAAGTAAAAAACCTACTGCTTAATGATGGATACTATGACCTTGTATGTAGTAATCTTAACAAAAATCCTTCTGAAAAGGAATTGTTCTGTTCACACATTAGCAAAAGATCAAAACCACATACTGTTCATTAAATGAAAATCAGTTGTTGCATTTTGTGTCCTTATGTTAGTTTAATAAGGTAGGATGTATCTGAAAAAAAATAGAAATTAAAGAAAATATATAAAATAAAAATTATAGAAAATCATAGAATAGTTGTGGTTGGAAGGAACCCTAAAGATCACCTAATTCCAATTCCCCTCCACTGGGCAAGGACACCTTCCACTAGACCGGGATTCAGATGTCCTTCTTGTGTTGGGGACCCCTAAGCCTGGACACAGCATTTCAGATAAGGTCTCACAAGAGCAGAGTAGAGGGGGAAAATCACTTCCCTTGACCTACTGGTCACACTTCTTTTGATGCAACACAGAATGCATTTAGATTTCTGGTCTTCAAGCACGCATTGCCAGCTCACGTCCAACTTCCTGTCCACCAACACCTCCAAGTCTTTCTCCCCAGGACTGCTCTCAATCCATTCTCCACGCAGCCTGTATTTGTGCTTGTGATTGCCCCAATCCAGTACAGGACCTTGCACTTGGTCTTGTTGAACTCCACAGTGTTCATGTGGCCCACTGCTCAAGCCTCTCAAGGACCCTCTGGATGGCATCCCTTCCCTCCAGTGTGTCAACCACACCACACAAATAGGTGTCATCAGCAAACTTGTTGAGGGTGCACTCTATCCCGCCGTCCATGTTGTTGTCAAAGATGTTAAAAACCGCCTTATCACTGATTCATAGGTACAAACACGAGCTAATTCAACATTTTATGCACAAAAGATTGAAATAACTGGAAAAGGCAGTCCAAAGTTGCAAATGTAAGCTAAATGCCTTATTGCCTTGCCTGCTGAGTTTGTGTCAGTGGCATAAATGAAGGTCCATTAGAAGAAGGGCCACTGAATTTGTTTTTATTAAAACCATCAATGTTTAGGGTTAGACACTGAGGGCTGATGCTGAATCACTGCACTGTAACATCCTCTAACCTCTTCAGAAGATAAATCTTTCTACCGTCATATTAAAGAAGAGGGGTTGTGTTATATCTCTTACTGCAGTGTCTCGTTCTGAGAAATAAAGCTCACAAAGCTGCATCTGGAAATAATGGAATAGTGTTGAGTCAACAAAGACGTGCTTTTCAGAGTTTGTGCCTGTTCCCATCTATATAGGAACCCAGTAATAGTGCTGTATATTTTTACCCTAGTTTAAGATAAATGGAAAAATTGGAAAGCGACGATTTCTATCAGCTGTGAGAAAAATCTATGTCTCTTTAACCTACACTGCCACCTGCTTAAAAGTGTGGGGAATCTCAGAACTGCTTGCAGAGTTCCTAGTGTAGAAGTCACTGAATACGGCAGATATCTTTCCAATAAGGCTGGTAATATCAATTTTGTGACATGACACGCTTTTAAAGACCTATAAATGTTCATTACCCTTTTTGGTAACTGAATGTAACTGAACATTTCTGTAACATTTCTCTTCTAACTAGAGAAAACTTACTTAATAGTCTGCTTTCCAAGATTTAGTTGCTACTGGCCATTTTCTGCACTTCATGGCTATTTGAAATGCTAAATAACTATATCTCTAAGCTAAATAAAAATTGCAGGAAGTTCTTCAAAACATCCTTCCCTTAATTGAAGTGAGGACTGTAAAAACATGGTGAGAGGTGTAATAATGAAAATTTGAAGTGTCTGCTCCATCATTCTTTACATCATTCCATCTCCAAATGCCTAGTGTTCAATGACATATTAGTCAGCATAGTGGTTAATTGGAAGTGCCAAACAAAACTTAATTATTAAGGGTTGAAAATAGTGCGTTACTGATGCTTATTTAAGTAACAGCAACTGTCATTCCAATAACTTTCTGCTTGACATTCTGAGGGCTCAAAGCATCCATTTTTTCAAATCAGAAGGTTCCAGGTCAAGCTCCCATCTATATTAGGGGAGGAAGGGGGATCAGATTTTAGTCCATCACCACTTTTCCATGAATTAACACATTAAAAAGTTTTTGCTTTCATTCTTGCAAAACTTTCTTCTCATCCTCCTCGCATAAAAAGAAAAAAGGTGTTTATAGTTGGTTTCAGTACTGTAGGTCTCCAAGCTGTCATTCATTCACGATTAAATAGTGTTTATAACTAACACACCTGATGGTGAGGGATGATTTGCAGCTCTGAAGATCAAGTGAAACCATTTGGGAGCACTGTGCCTGGATGTACACAGCACCTCCTGGTGTTCCCTTCCTGTGCCAGTGCCAGAGCTACAAGGAGGAGAGCCACTGATGTGCGGCAGTTTCTGGATAAGCTATGTATTTTGAATTGCGCAGATGTGATTCTTTCCAGTGTCACTCATTTGTTATCTCCCACAACACATTTCTGACAGCAGAAGTGTGGCAAATGAATGGGAGTCAAAGACTCCCACTTGGGATGAGAGGGGAGGCTTGTACTAAAATGGCACAGAGATGAGAAGGAGGACCAGATGGTAACGCTTTTCAGGTGAAAAGGCTAAATAACACATTCTTATGGTTCCCCAGGCATATACAAAAGCTTAATAATTATACCAAATATGGCATATTATTTCAAGTATGAGCTCATTCAGTCCAATTTCTCTATTCCACCTGAGTTTCTTAAGCACTAACTACTGGGCAGAAAATAGGACAGAATCACCGTCTTTCCATGTAAATGGTTTTAAAACAGTTGATGGCACATAATTTCTGTTTGTTTGCATTGTTTATGCATTTCTGAAAACCTAAGAAATGGAAGAAATAAGGTCATACCACTTCCTCAAATTATGATAAATCAGGGATCCAGAAACATGCTTCCAAGGAAACAAAATCCATCACTTCAAATGTGCAATTAGTGTCTATAAGAAGAGAAAATTCAATAAAACTTTCAAAATGGTGTGTCAAATTATCATAATTGTTGGATGTTGGTTAACAATTCCAAGTGAATTTCAATATAGTGCCAAATATAAATGAATAAAGAGTGCAGTCTTTGTAAAATGTCCAATTATAGTGAAGGCAAAAAAAGCCAAAACAAAGACCTGAAGATAATCTAAAATGACTGCATGTTGAACTAAGGATAAAAAACAACTGGCCTGGATTTTGAACCATACACAACTGTGTATGAACCACAAGAAACTGTGCAAAGGATCAAACAATGTAATCAAATCATGTTTAATTTTGAGAACTTTGTTAATAAGAAGTCTCTTTCAGTGAGTGACAGTGATATACTTAGTTATGTTGGGACAAGGCAATAGCTAGTTTTTCAGCTGCCTAATATGAAAACAAATGATGTATTTAAAACATTTTGATATCTGACATTAAGAGATATAAGAAAACATTTGTCAGTACAGCTCCATTTTTTATATATACAAAATATTTTCACATCCTTCCTTCTTTTTTTTCTTTTGTATTAATTGCCTATATATCTCTAAACTTAAAAGATCTCCCACATAGAAATTCCTTGTTTTCTATTTGCAGTTTTTCCTTTTAAATAGTAATAAACAGAGCTGGAAAGAGAGCATAATACAGTTATTTTAAATGGAATTAGGTATTTTAAATATATTGTTTGTATTGAGTTTACTTCCTATATCTGAATGTTGTTATCTGAAATCTTGTAATATATTATATATTACATACATAATCATTTATAACATATGCATGTTTTTCTCTTTGTATTATAAAGCACCTTATAATATCATTTCCCAGTGTAATTTTTTTACACTGAAAATATAAGAAATAAAGCATACACTAAAACTCATTTGAAAATTTGTTGTCTCCTCCATTCATGGCCTGCTAATTTTACAGTGTCCTTATGTAGAGAATGACTTCAATTTTACCAGTTGGCTCAAGTAGATTTCCATTTTTGCATGATGGTAACACTTTACTCCTTATGTGGTACCAGTGGTACCATTAAAGAATAGGGGAGCATTTCATACAAATAAAGTGAAAATACCTGGCATTTTGGAATACAACAATACTAGAAATAAGGAGAAAATATGAGTATAAAGTTAGTTATACTTCAACCTGGCACTAGGAGAAGGCAGAAAGGTTAAAATGAGCAGCTCATTCAGTCGTTAACCTTCTCTCCAGTATGTGGTTCATACTGGGAGGGGCTGTCAGATATCCAAGCAGGAGAAAAAATGATAGTCAGAAACAGCACAAAATTGTTCTTTTTTTCTCCTTTCATATTTTCTTCTGGCAATTTAGATACGAATCTGAATCATTTCCAGGACTTATGTGTCATTTATAACTTAAATTCCTTAAGACAACATGTATTAAACATCACATATTTCAAGAAAGTATCCAAAGAGGACCTTTTCACCAAAGGCAGTCTCTAGTTATGACAAAAAAAATCAGCTTTAAACATTAAACTGGTGTCTTATTTTTTTAAATCACCTCTTGGGAAATCAGAACGTCCTTATTTGTAAATGCTGGCTTAGAGCAAGGGACCTCAGTACCCAGAAGTGGTTCCAGACCCATTCCAGCAGTGGATTTTTCCCTCTCTTCCCTGTGCTACTTCAGTTTATGATAGCCAGGAGGCAAAGAAGGTGTCATGAATTGACAAGGTACTCTCCATTGCCTGCCTTTGTGTATAGTCTAGGGAGAGGGTAAAGAGTAAAAAATCTTGTTTGCTTCTGCACACTTATACCCAAAATATAGTTGAGTGAGTTGTGACATAAGTTCTTGTTCCTTTGTAAGTGTCTGGGCTTTGGATTACCACCCCTAGGTCATAAATGATAAAGGAAAGCCAATTAGAACTCTGGCTTTGATCTCATGAGAATGGAAACATCATC